TCTCCTTACAGAGCAGAGGTGCAGTGCCACTTCACTGCTTCACCTTCTTTTTTGTATCTCAGAATACTTGAAAAACCCAACAGAAGCAAACTTGTCCTTTACAGCTCTTGATTATGTGTGGACACATAGTGGACACAGTTAGGAAAAATAGGTTATAATTGCACAGGGGTCAGTTAGAAGTAAAACGATAAAGAAACATCACCTGTGTGTGAACAAGAGTAAACAGGTTTGTGTAGATGGAAAGGGACTGCTTCCTAATAGATTAAAACAAGAGTTTTCCACAAGGTGGAGGTATGTAAGTTGCCTACATCTTCACACTTTGTTTAACATATAAGGACAGAGGCTATGTAGCCGTTTCTGGCTTGGCTTCCAAGAAAAGCCACAGGTCAAAGAGGACTCAAACTAGTTTCACTACCCACTTCTGGAAGGGGGCAGAAACAGGGAGGAACAGCTTGCACCTCTTGCCGACTTTCTTCTGTATGCTCAGTATCAGTCCTACGGTTGTTGGCTGGCACACAAGAAACATGCCTCAGCCAGCAGGACCACATTGCCTTTTTGCAGTAAGAAAGAAAACATCTGGTAAGCAGAATGTCTAAGAAGTCGGGGAAGAAAACAGAATATGAAAGTCTTTCTTATACTAGACCTTCAGTCTGTTTGAAATATCAGCACAAGGAGGAATATACATTGTCTATATAACCCACAACTTGAGCAGTCATCACTTGGCATGGAGTTACAGCCACATAGGAAAGGATTTTATCTTAATACATAGGGTAGAAATTAAACCTATATACAAGAGCAGAGATGTATTAAGAAACGATTCAGCATAGTGGTCATGGCTCTCTGATTCATAAAGTAAGTTAATAACATAAGCATGAAAAGTGAGCTTTTTTTAGGCTATATATTTATTAAAAGCAGTATTAATGTATGAATCCACCTTGGAAGAAAATAAGTGTCCTTGAGATGTTAGATTTTATCAGCCAAATTGAATGTCTGCATCAATGGCTCTCCCTAAAAGTCATAATTAGGTCATTAAAATATATTTAGAAAAATAGCCTGTAAAATAAAGTTAAAAAATACTCACCTTCATTTTATTTCATAGGTCACTGTTATACCATCTAATAAGATAATTAAAAACATGCAAGCAGCTGGTACTGAGGCTAAACAGATTAATGTAATAGTCTGTAGTCATATGTGCTGGCAAGGGGTTCACCTCTTTGGCGAGGAGAAGGTCAGCTGCCCTTGGGAAGGCAGGAGAAAGACAGTATTTCTACTTTCCAGTGGCACTGCATTGCAGACACTGAAACTAGAGACCCTCACCTATTTTTCTTTTCCTTTTGGTGAAGTCCGGCCAATTTGTACATCCAGAAAAGGCTTTAACCATAGCAATAAAACAGTACAGTAGAGTAAGGCTCAAATATTTTCCTCAAGTTTCTTATGTTTTAGAGATGAAAGCTACTATATGTCCAAATCCTTGTTCCAATTTTTCTAATAGTGAATTTTGATGACATTTTCATAATTTCTTATTAGTAAAAATATTCCCAAGTACACAAAAATACTTCCATCAGAGCCTGAAGACCAACTAGAAAATTCTCTGTGACCTGACAGGACTCACTCACAAACACAGAATATTTAGAAATATGTGCCAGTCACATGTGCTTTTCACTTACATTACTTAGAAACTTTATGACCTAAAGGGAAATGCTCACTAGCTGAAAATAAGCAGCATTAAATCTGTGCCGTGATCAACACAGTCACAAACTCTAGAGTGACACCATCATATTAAAAATAAACCCATACAAACAGTCCTGGAGCATCATAAATATATCAAAGGATAATGATCAGACATCCTTTATACATATACTCATACTCAGAGTCTTGTACCGGATAGTGTAAAATTGTCCTTCAATGTAGAAAGTGTTGGAATCAAGGCACACCCTCCTTGCCATGTTTTTTGTTTGTTTGTTTGATTTGTTTTGTTTTGTTTTAATTGTGGTAAAACCAATATGCTCTTAAGAGCACTTTAATAGCAAAACATATCCACATTCAAATATTTTTAAACATTTGGAGTTGTCTCTTCTCCTAAATAAATTGTAAAGAGACTGTTATTGTTAAAACATAAAGCAGCTTTTGTTTTAGTAAAAATTTCCAGTAGAATTTTGTATGTATTAGCCTTCTGCAAGCATGACATCTACTGTGATCCAAAGATGCCTTCGCCTCTTTTAGGGCAAAAAATCACTATTCAGTCTTATTTAAATACAACAGACTGAAACACATTGGGTAAACAAGACTATCATTCAGTTTTATCAAATTACTCCCTTACTGAAACAATATTCATTGACAGAATCCTAAGTCCAAATCTTTAATGAGTCCTTAAAGAAATAACAACCATTTACCATCGTTACCTTTCAAGGTAGTTTAGGATTCACTTCTCGTCTTACTACATACAGTATTAGCTGCTCATTTTTACTTCACATGCAGTCCAAAACTATAACTATCAACACAGTATTCAACGCAACCAGCAAATTTACAACCAGACTCGTTATATGATGGGAGTTACTTGCCACTAAACAGAAAATATTCATTTCGCACTTTAAACACTGTAATACTACTTAATAACAGCACTAGCTTGTCAACTATTAAAAGTCAGAGGTTTCTTTCATATATATGTGTGTATGTATATATATACACATAGCCACACACACATAGATACACTCTACTATCTTGCTTTATCATCTTGCTTGTAATTATAACAACAATAATATGCTGACAATGGTATATAGGATTTCTTTTAAAATATTAATTAACTTCAGTTTTGTAAGTTGGGCTGTAATCCTCTGACAAAATACGATTATTATTCACTGGAAGTCATACCCAATGTCATATTTTTTATATGCACTTTGCACTAAGGAATATGGAGATACAAAGACCAGCTTTAATCTCCACTCATTAGTGGAGCATTAAAGATGGTTGAGGAGTCAATGTGGTTGAGGTTGATTTAAGTGAATGGTACCATGCACTGTCCTCTCACTTCTAGCTGCCTATGCTAGCTACTTTTCTTGCACTGGCACCGATACCCACCCGAACCTTTGGCAGGTGGACACTGTGAACCAAGCAATCATTAAGCTGTCTCTACAAAGAACAAACTGGTTGGGCTAGGTTAGCTCCTAGGGCTGGCTCCCTGAGAGATGAGTGCTACTGGATGAGTGGAGAAGGGGTGTCATGTGCTGTGACAAGGGGTAGGAAGAAAGGGTTGGACCCCAGCCCCACAGCTTACACTCTTGTGGAACCAGAGCCTAGCTGAAGCTGGCATGTTCTTCTTCAAGTGTTACACCTTGGCAGGTTGAGGCTCTGGAGTTACCAACTTTCAGGAATAAGTGTCCCAGAATTAATGGCAGAGAGAGCTCTCAACTCCTTTCTTTCACTGAACTGACTAAATTCTCTCGCCTGTTTTTCAGAGACTACTTCATGGTCTTGGTATCTACATATGTTTCTCACCCAAAACCCACGAAGATTATTCTGGGTGGTATTTTTGAGCCCTTCTTTTGACTTAGTATGTTGCATGCATTAGAGAACACAACTATGACAAGAAATCAAGTCAGGCAGAAACCTGAAACAGATTTGCTAACGTATTTTTCTCAAAGTGAACATGCTAACTACCCTCTCCAAGGGTTTTGCATCATCACAAAGTAGGTTTCAATAGAACAGACTTACTAGAATACAGAAAATTGGAAGGATTTGTAAATAAAACCTCCCCTGTCCCCTGCAGGCACACCCTTTTTTCCAACCTTGCACTCAGTCCAGAAGCCTCCTCTGGGTATTTGAATCTCAGCAAACTCTTTGCTGATCCTTCTAGGTCCTTATGAAAAGCCTTTCTTTTCAACATCCTCAAGACCAGGCTGTTTGCTCCCTGCTCTCCTCAGCCACCTCTCAGTCTCCAGCCTGCAACAGGTTCTTCAGGCATTGTGTCCCTCCCTGCCACCGCGCACCTGAAGGCTCCTCATGCCCAGCACAGCTCACTGCCTGCAAGATGGTGTGATATTCCTCACTCACTCAGCCAGCTGAAACTGGGGCAAGGAAAACAGGCAGGTTCCTCCTGCCTGACTACACCTCTTTGAATTACAGACACTAGTAGACTATGAACAAAAAAAAAATGAAGATGTTATCCATCATAGTTCACTAAATTAATCCAAAATAATCATATGGTAAGCTGGCTTTATTTTATCATATTTAAGCATCAAAATCAGATGCAGTCATTCTGGCTAGCATGAATCTTACTATATTAATTTACCAGTCACAAGGACAAAGATTTAGCATTTGTAGCAGAGGCAGTATTTTGCTGGCTGAAAGATGAAACTACGTATCTGCTGATTACCCTTCTGTGCTTTCAAGTACAAGACACCCTCTGGTATGTACCCAAGCAAGACTCAAGCTCAGTGCCTGTGCTGCAGAAAGTTGCTCAGCATCATATTTCTTTAACTGTTGTTTAATACTGACAGAATTGAAATATTATTTTCCTGTCAGAAAACCTCAAATTTAACAAATCCTGACTTTGGTGTTTGACATGGAATAATGAGCAAATAGAGTTCCATGTGGTCCATAGATCCAGCTACTTTGGAAAAGATCAGAAAGGTGATCGATCCTTGGTGAGTTAAATGTTTCAACATTTAGCTTAGCTGCTATGAGTTTAGGTGAGAATTTCCACTTTATTGCATATTTTGGAGAAAACAAACAAACAAACCCCCTTAAAAATATTTGGGTTTACAAGTGTCCTGTACTTTCATTAGTTAAGCATTTTGAACAGGTTTATCAAGAAAATAGTCCAGAAAACAACTTTTTAGATCATTCCTTAATTAAGTCCTTCATGTTTAGTCTACTCACTGTACAATTTAGATTGTATCATACTCCTAAAGCACATGGACTTGTTCTTTTGATTTACAAAGATTATGCTGCTTATTCCGTTAATTTTTAAAATTAGAAAATAAATATAAAAAATTACCAACCTGTAAGAAATAAATGTTCCATCAGAATCTGAGGTGTGGTGTGTGCTTCCATTTTCATTTGATCCTCCTAATACAAAAATAAATCACATTTGTTATAAGACAAACCCTGACAATAAATAACACAGTATCTGTGTGAATTGAAACTGATTTTACCCTGTATGGTAACTTTAGTTTATGACAAAACTTACATAGAAAAGCCTCAACTTTACATCTTCAAATTCTTACAGCTGGAAAGAGGGACAACTAGCCTTCATGTTCAATTTGGAATCTGAATGTTCTGAAAATCTGAGATTTAATTTCAGTTAAATTTTTGATTGAGGTTCTTCTCAACTTATTAAACACAATTTTAGTAGTGTGAGGTTACAGAGGAATACCATATAAATAGATGTTTGATTTTACTAAAATTAAGCCAACGAATGTAAAAGTTCATCTATCTTGTAAATAGTTTAGAATTGACTGTATGATACTAGATATTTTTTTGTTATAGCACACATTCAAAGCTTCTCTGAAACTACCTAAGGAACATGTTTACAAAACCTCTTGCTTTACATCCTGTGAGCTGTTTATACGTAGAACAGTGATGTTCATAGAAACCAAGGATTACAAGGAAACCTTCACCTATAATAACTACTTCTACTGAAGAACTGTTAAAATCCAGAAAGAATAATCTCTTTTTCAAAGCAAATTTATTCATGTCCTGTTTTATACTATTCATTCTTGCTCAACCTGTCATTTAGCTTGATAATTCTTCTATGTTCATGTGTATTTCCTTAATTCATTTACAGATATCATCACACACCTTTGTGTCCTCTATTCTGCTTACTGAAATCAAGTTCTTTGAGGCTTTTTCATGAATAAGACTCCTTATCCCCTGTTTTGTTTAAATAATTCCTTCTTACACATGGAAAAGAAGGGAGAGGAGCTGTAGACCACATACTAAAAGTTTAATCAGTTGATTCTTTCAACAGTAGTTTTCTTCTCTACCTAGAAAATCTTGCTCAATACAGTCTATTGTCACGCCACACCATTTTGCAGTTTTACAGCCATATTTAATCAACACTCCTACGTGTTTACTCTCCATTGTTATTTACAAAAAGAAGTTTGCAGTTTACATTAAAATTTCTTGCTAGTACAATACTGTATTTCACACCATTCTGTTTCTAGTCCTCTTTTCCTCAGGAAGGACCAGTCCTACCTGAATACTCTATTTGTGCTTGCACTGGATACTACCCTCTAATATTTTTTCTTCACAAAGTCCAACAGCGCAGTCTCTCACTTTATGGCAAGACAACAAATGAAAATATTGGAAAAGACCAGTTCCACCACAAACTCCACTAAAAAAAAATTATTTCATTAAAATCTGCATTTCTCTATTCATCTTATAATTACTACGCTTCACTAAGCCTCATCCTTTCTATTTCATAACATCTCCTGGGGCACTACATTAGATGGTTTACTCAGGTCCAGATAGACAAAGTATTTCGTTAATGTATATTTTGAAAGGCCAGCAGGTTAGCAGGGCACAATCTCCCATTCAACAAAAAACCCACACTAAAAGTTAAGCCATTCGCTTTTTGTTTCTCTTGTACTTCTTCTTCCTTAAAAACTTTTCTAAAGCCCTGCACAGATAATAGCCAACCTATATAACTGCTTTGCTATCACTTTTTTTTTCTCTTAATCTAAGTACAGGTATTATATTTCCTCTCCTTCTTCCCCAGAAAAATTCTATAAATAGTCAATAATATTTTCTTGTTAGTTTAATTCCCTTCTTATGATCTAATCCAACTTAACTTCTGCTAATTGTCACTAAAACCCCACACTTCCAGGAGGTAGCATTCCTTGCAGATCAAACTTTTTTTTTTTTTTTCCTGTTTCGTTCAGGATCTTTGCTTACTCCAGACATTTCCTTAAAAAATATTTAATCATACAGTTTGGCATATAACTTCCCTTCCAAGTGTTTTTTCTCATCTAATTTGTAATGCATTTTATTAACTTTTGCACCTTTGTCTAAAATAAATCCCAAACCTCTACTGCATTTTAGTCTAAAATTGCTCAGTCTCGCTGATTTCACTAATTAGCTTTCTCAATTTATTTAAAAAATGGAAATCCTACTTCATCAATCTGCTTTTTGTTTGCTAAATTTAAATAAATTAACACCACCAGATATTTCATCCAGGAGCTGACCCTCCCATTATTAATAAAGATCTGATCCTTTTTTTCTTATATCTTAGAAAATAGTCTCCCATACTGGGACAACTTTAAGTAATATGCTTTTTCTTATATTACCCACCTCCACATCTGATCCTGAGCATTTGGAGAAATGACTGAATTATGTTCAGTCTCTTTTAAAGCCATATGGCCAGGTGCAGTGATATTGGGAAATTGTTTATAAGGACACAGCACATCAAAACAGATCCTGAATGCACTGCTGCACTTTATTTATACTTCGATAACTCCTAAACATTCACCTATCACACCAGTCAGACTGAAAAAGAAAAATCATTCACAAAGCTAAGTTCATATGCAGGAAAAAATATTTTGGGATTGTTTTCAAGAAGCTTCGCAACACCATCTTCCTTTCTGAAGAATGAAGTTTAAGAATATGTCAAAGAGTGCAAGGCCTTTATCATCTTTCAACTAAACCATTTGTTCTGCTTGAAGAGTCACCAGGACTCCACAAAGAAAATCAGCATCTTAGTGATAAAGGTTGTTCTTTCATCAGGACTGCACAATGACACTTGGTGGGATGCTGGGTGTGCTACATCCATTGAATTGTCCTTCACAAGCTACTCTAAGTGTAGGTTGCTTTATTCTGGAGCACTCTCCCAAAAGACAATAATTTCCTTTATTTAAATGAACTTCACAATACTTTAGCATTCTTAATTGTATACTCAATAAATCTCATATTCACACACATTATTTTTTTGAGAGCTGCTATTTCTGCTTCATCCTATCATTAGCAGCAGCTACCAAAACTGGGTAGGACTAGGTACGTTCAGCTCTCAAAACCAGGATTTAGTGGAGTGAGCATTTCTGTGGTTGTTTTCTTGCTCCATCCCCTCTAAGACGGGTATGTCTGTTATGACATCTTGAAAGATGATTTACATGTCTCTCAGTGAGAGGGATAACACTGATAAAGCAAAGTGCAAAGTATTCATTGACGATACATTTCCTAATTTTTACCTGCTTTGATTCAAAAGACTTTCTAGAAAATCCTGTAAACTTTCATAGTCAGCAATACTTGAGAACAAATGGGACAGGTGCTTCCCTAACTAATGACAATATGCTGTGGAAATCCATGCCCTCGATCACCTCTCCTCAGGCAAGTTCCAGTTTTCCCTCCTTTTGAAAGGTACAGTGAACTCCCAGTAGAACAGATAGATTACTTGTATCTTCTTCTGCGATAATGACACAAATTTTTGGTAAAATTAGGTTGTATACTGAACAGTTATGAATATAAGATTCATGGTAATAGAATTTGTAGTCTCCTTTAAAAATCCTAATTGATTCAGTATTAACATATTATTTAGATCCTTTCTGAAACTCAAAAACAGAGGATGCTCTACCACCCTTGCCACACACCTCCTGAAAAGGTTTCCAAACTTCAAATGCAAAAGCTAGGGAAAAAAAAGTTAAAATAAATATTATCACACTTTCTGAGGAAAGAAAAGGGAAACAATGAAACCATAACAAGCATCAGTACAGCTAAGGTGCTGTAATTTCAGCACTAGAGCAGTCACTGGTTTTATAATAATACAATAATAAATTAGGCAGTATCCTTTCAAAGGGATTGAAAAATCATCTGGTTATCTTTCTTGCTGCTGCTCTAACTGTAGAAACTCGCTCTCCTCGGAATGAATACTTTCTCCTGAAAGAATTCGGTTCTATTGCCCTGTTTTGATAAAGGCTGTTCTTGTGCATGGAGACCAAGGGTTAAAGGGAGCTGGGAGTTGGGTAGCTTGGACCTGGTACTACTGGACACAGCTGGAGGCCATTTCAAGAGAATCTGCATAACCTGAAATTGATGCTTTTACTAACCAGTCAAAAAAACCCCATTTCAAATGCTGGCTTCTTTGAACTTCAGAGACGCATGGAGAAGGATTTGTAAATTGTACATTTACCAGGGTACTAGATTCACCCAGAACGAACAAGCTTGTCACTTCAGGAACTGTTTTCTTGTAAGAACATGTTTGATATTGTAGATGTAGCATAAAATAGATGAACTCACAACAAGGAGGATGCCAGATACACTTTCTGAAGATTATCTGAAAACCATGTGTAGAAATTGTAACAAGGAGAAGCCTAATTTAAATTCACACACTATTTTTGTATTTTTTTTAACAGCTTATTATACTGACAGTATAATACCTTCTCAAATAAGATCTTTTTCAAGGTGCAGTGCACAGTTTCCACTTCAAGCATTAAGAAGAAACTGGATAGCATTTCAGAGCCCCAGTCCAAGAGCGGGAAGATACTCTGGGTATGTACTAGGCACAATGACCACTCTGAGCTTAAGCATGTGTTCAACAAAAGTAAGAAAGAATGTGAACAACGATGTAGGGATCAGACATTTCTCACTCATCTCCTTCATTACCTCTCTAAAACCAGCTATTTTCTGTGAGATGCAAATACTCAGCACAGGAGTTCTTACGGAGAAGTGGTGATATAGTATCATAACCAGCTGCAAGTCTACACAGACAAAAAGCTTGAGCGACAGCCCCTTATTCCTACTCCCTATACTCCTACTTTTAAAACTAATTGAACTCTGTTTTTTTTTTTCCTTTTGAAAATGTTTTGAAGAAATGTCTTTACATACATAAATACATATTTCTGTATGTATGTGCACACACATATGCATGTCTATGTGTGGGCACACATGTATATTTATGTAGTGCTAACTGATTTACCGATCTTGCATTAGCTATAAAAGGGTTTTATGGCTGGCAGTTTAAGAATTTGTGATAAAACTGATCCCACTTAGGAAATCAAACTGTGCATTCCCCTGCTTACAAGTGTCAAAATGGAGACAGATCTCTCTGCTGACAAGTTTGCACCCCGCTTAATATT